TGCAGGTGAGACTGCGCCTAGCGTCCACTTACTGGCACTCAACTCTCACCTGTGGCTCCACGTAGCTGGACTCTGCTCACCGGCCACACCCCGGGCAACCGTCTCGACCGGCGGGCTAAACCAGGTGAGGGCGGTTACTCCCTGTGTGCTGTGCCGTGTGCACAGGGTTTGCGGATTCCGCTGGATGGAAGGTCGGATGGAACCTTGCGTCGGCACCGGCGTGACGTGGTTCGTCTCTGCACGCCGCTGGACAGCCGGTGACGGGATGGATCTCCACATCGACATCGCCTTGACGCGCCCACCCACGCCATCGGCGACCGCCGCTTACGGCGAATTCGAGTCGCTCTCCACTACAACCCGAAGTCGTGGCCCCATAGTGGAATTCGGCCGTGCCAAAACGGCAAATAGGCAGCCCCATACAGGGGCGGCACTGCCAGCCCCCACGAGGTGTAGGGCCTTGAAAAGGTGGCCTAAGCACTGCTGGGTACCACGCTGTCTCCAAGCTAGCCAGGGCCGTAGCTTTAGAATTAGTTTCAGCGCTGAGGATCGGATTAGGGCTAGTGTTAGGGTTACGGTCAGGGTTTGGCTTCGGTTTCGGGCCTGGACTGTGGTTAATTTTAGGTTTATGTTTAGGATACAATTTAATGTTAGGATCAGGGTCGGCGTTATGGCTAGGGTAAGGAATAGGCTAAAGAATAGGACTAGGTTCAGGTTTAGAATAAGGTATACAGTTAGGGTTAGGGTTAGGGCTAGGGTTAGGGTTACGGTCAGGGTTTGGCTTCGGTTTCGGGCTTGGACTGTGGTTAATTTTAGGTTTATGTTTAGGATACATTTTAGCCATAGGATCAGGGTCGGCTTAATGACTAAGGTAAGGCTTAGGCTAAATAAGAGGGGCAGGGGCAGGTTCAAAACTAGTTTCAGCGCTGGGTTACGGATTAGGGCTAGGGATAGGGTTAAGGTCAGGGTTTGGCTTCGGTTTCGGAACTGGACTGTAGTTAATTTTAGGTTTATGTTAAGCATACATTTTAGTGCTAGTATCAGGGTCGGCATTAAGGCTAGGGTAAGGCTAAGGCTTAAGGATAGGGATAGGGGTAGGTTTAGAATAAGGTATACGGTTAGGGTTAGGGTTAGGGCTAGGGTTACGGTCAGGGTTTGGCTTCGGTTTCGGGCCTGGACTGGGGTTAATTTTAGGTTTATGTTTAGGATACATTTTAGTGTTAGGATCATGGTCGGCGTTATGGCTAGGGTAAGGAATAGGCTAAAGAATAGGACTAGGTTCAGGTTTAGAATAAGGCATACGTTTAGTGTTAGGGTTAGGGCTAGGGTTAGGTTTACGGTCAGGGTTTGGCTTCGGTTTCGGGCTTGGACTGTGGTTAATTTTAGGTTTATGTTTAGGATACATTTTAGTGTTAGATTCAGGG